ATGATACTGACTTTTAAAAACTATAAAATTTATGCAAATGCTGTGAAAGAAGGTTTGCCTAAAAATTTTAATACTGTGTGCAATTCACTCCCTGCCCCCCCCAACAACATGGCCTTGTATACTACATTGAATGAAAGTGATGGTTTTGTTTGCCCACAGAAAACTTGATGCCTTGAGAAAAATCTTAAAAAACAACAGTAATAAAAATTCTAGAAATAAATTTATATTTTGGAAAATGATAATGTAAACAATCCTGAAAATGTTACTGGTGAGAAAATTGTAAATAATGATGTAGAAATTATTGCTATGGATATTCCAAAGGCACCCAGAATTAACCTATTTGTGTTGATACCACAGCTAAATTTTAGGGAATTTGTTAAGAAACTTAAAAGATAAGGTTAATGCTATTGTTACAGCCAGAAACAGAGGTGAATTTCTGAAATTTTTCCCAAATGATACCAGCTGATGATCACATAGAAACTATACAGTACTTAGAAGTGAATGGTATTCAACATTATGTTATGCATGCTGCAAAAACTAAACCAGTTATGGCATTTTGAGAGTATTACCTTGTAACACTCCTGTTGGTGATATCAAAACCTAATTCAGGAAAGTTTTAACGTAATCTAAATTTCTAATATGATTAAATTCACAGCACATTTCTCAGGCCACTGTTCCAGGTTCAGTTGGTTAACAAAGACAGAGCAGAAAGAATTTTTTATGTTCAAAATCTGTTCTTGTAACCTGGCCAGAAACTAAGTTCATGCATGACAAACCAAGACATAGCCAAAGCAATGTTCAGACAGCTAATCATGGCATAGCATATTGATGATACGGATGCAAGACAAGTAATGCACTTTCTGGAGTAATTCTTTATTACATTATTGCTAACTTTATTTAGTTCATGAAAAACACAGCATATCACTCTGGTTCCCCTTAGAAGCTAAGGTTGGTTGCACAGCTAGAGCTGTACTATCAAGTTTCTATTCTGAAGGAAGCATTTGATACATTGAATGAAGATCAATTACAAGATGCTTTGACTTTAATGAGGACTTCAATACACACCGATAATGAGGTATCGGCTGAAAAACAAGGTTAAATAACATAATTAGTAAGATGAACCTAGTTCATTTTAAATGTAATGAGCCTAACAATGTATTATGTTTAGAAGACAAAATTGTGTTTTAATCAACTGAATATCCATACAGAAAGAAAAAATTCTAAATAATGTACTGAAATTCAAGCTAAGATGGTTAAATGAATGACAGAAAAATCACATTCTGAAACTTCTGTGGAGCTTACAGAACCTGAAGTTTACATAGGAAGAAGTGATGCCAAATCTATTTTAGTTGTTATCATGAAAATAATGAAGTTTTTTTTTTTTTTTTTTTTTTTTTTTTTTTTTTTTTTCCAAATGTGAACAGCCACCAGATAAAATAGCAATATTCTCCATCTCAATTCAGTGTCTGTGAACAAAAATTAATGAAGATAAGAAATGCAGGGTATAAAGAAATTGCTCTGGTTCATTGTTACAACCCAAGTTTAGATACCAATCAGGAATTTAAAAAATGTGTTTGTTTTAGAAATAATGTTTAAGTGCCACTTTAGTAATTCCTGTAGTAGCAAATGCTTTTATCATAGCTTTGTATAAATTATTTTATTTTGTAGGCTGTATTATTCAGTTAACTATTTAAGTGTGGAATTATTGATTATCTGATCAGTTACTTCATGAAATAACTGAATTACTCACAACAAAATACATATACAGTCCAAAGTCTGTAATCCGAAATGATCTATTATCCAGACCTCAAAGCCAAAACTTTCTTTTGTATGTGTTTATGCATGCACATAATGCATTTATGCATTCACATTTAATGTATAACAGCCCGTACAAGCTAGGCTAAAATTATCGTTACCGATAAGGCATTTCAGTTAATGTTGCAGACTACTGTGCCTTAATCTTCTAAATGGATCTGGCTTATTATTTTTTACAGACTGTTAGAGCAGTTTTAAAAAAACTTAGCTTGAACTTTCGATTATGTCAAAAAGTGTTTCCAATTCTGGAGCTGCCAAAGGATCTACAAAGCGAAAGAATGTTTCAATGTACCACTTCCGATAGTGAAGAAAGTGACAGAGAGGTTATTGAAAATGAAAAAATTTCAATTGACAAGTTAGTCAGTATTCTCGACACAGCAATTACAGGACTTGAACACTGGAACTTTGTAACTGAAGAAGAAATTATGTCTGTTTATGGAATTACAGAGAAAGTATTAGCACAAAAAACGAAGCAACTTAAACAACTTATATTGAAAGAAATGTTTAATAAAGTAAAGAAATAAATATTAAGCTTTTTTGTAAATTTTGATACCCTTTACATCATAATTGCTCTTTATTTCATAAATTACAGTTTCATATTTTTAATGGTATAATCTCTGCATGCCATCTTACCAGATTTAAATTGATGATCTATAATCCGGAAAAATCCCTAATCCGGAATTGCCGAAGTCCCGACGAGTCCAGATTACGGACTTTGTACTGTATTTAAAATTTTATATCACTATCTTTCATAAATAACTAGCTTATGTAGAAACAACATTTGCTATTATTAAATTCTGCCATGTCACACAATGGATGTCAAATAATTTTACCTTTTATATGTAAAACTGTCATTATTTTTAATGTTTCTATTAATAAGAGCTGAAAACCTTAATTTGCAAACTTCTTTCCAGTTTTGAAACTATAGCAGAGAGATCAAACAGTGATAATGTAGGTAATATACTTAATAACTGTACTGCATATCTAGTACCTATATTCATAATATATTCTGCCTTTACTGCAGTCAATTAGTTTTGCATTTTTAATATTTGTTCCGTAAATTTTCACAATAGATGATGTAAAGTTTATCCTAAGTTTTTAACAGCTATTTTTAGTTAATGATACTTCCCTATCCCTTCTAATTTCAGCTTACAATTTCCTACCAGAATGTGTTTCTAATATTGCGTTTAATGCAAATAAGTAAGAGTGGTATTTAAATGAAAGTTCTACTGACTTCATTAGAGAGCCAGAGTTTCTGACTAGCGTGCATTCGCCTTTTGGCTACACTCTCTCTAAGCTATTACTATGTTCGGCCATAATTGAGGCCCTTGATAGCTTCGCCAGCTTAGTAGATATTTAGGGGCCAACTACTTAGAATCTTGATAGCTTCGGCTATATCTTTTTAGTTAAGCATTAGTTAAGTTTGATTTCTTATTCCACGTGGATCTCGGAGCTATATGTTAAGTTCTTATTTTGAGAAATAAAGGGTAATTAACCCTTCTTGAGTTTTATGTTTCTGAACTAAAGCGATTATTCCTTTACCTGTTCATGAGGATCCAACACAATTAGCTGTTAGATAAAAGGTTGGAACACCAGAATGTTAATGAATTAATCTTACAAAATATGGATATGTTATAACATTTTATTATCAAATCTTAAGGATGCACAAAATTTGACTTTTAATTCAATTTTCTCACATCTACTACAGCATACCATTTTTTTTAGTTTTAAGAAATATTTAAAAAACACTTTTACACACCATTTACAGCAGAAGCTTCACCTAAAAATACCTTCTCAGAAATACTCAGGATAAAATATACTGCTTTATACAAAATTACGATCACAATATAAATTAAACATCTCTTTTAGGCAAAATGCAAGCTACACTACACAACTCCATAAGATGAGCAAAAAGTATAAAAATGAAAACTGATGTGAAAATAATATATTATAATTATAAAAATAACTGACAGAAAAATGTCCATGCACAGGATGGTCCAAAAATTATCAAGCACATTTCACATTTGAATTGTGCAGCACGTATAGACCTTCGTGTGAAAGTTACTTGATGTTTAAAATTTTGTTTTGTAAAACTGTTTTAAATCGTCTTTCCAAATAACAATAGACATATACATACATCATCATAGATTACCCACACGAAACTTGAATACTTTACATACAGCAGTGTATGCTTCTGATACAATATATGGGGGGTAATATTGAATAATAATGGTATGATCTTATTTCATCATCGGTTATCAGTCTGTTGTGCTGTAACAGGTAATGCAGAAACAATTTCTAACTGATTTGTCTTGCATTTGTGGCAGAGTTTGCCAGTTGTTCCTTTTTCAGATTCAAAATCAGTTCTTTAATTTCATTTCTTTTTTCTCTTATCCTATTTTTGTCGAACCAGTTTGATAAGTCTGGCATTGGATTTTTAAAGTTGAAAGGATTCTGAAAAAGTAAAATTATTTACAAAATAATAAGAATATATTTTTAGCATGACATTTTTTTTAAAATATTTTATTAGTATATATATCTTTTTAAGTTTCATTTCATATGAAAAGTGAAGCTCTAATATCATGGTGACAATATGAAGTCATAAACATCACCAAAAATATTTTATATAATTATATAAGCATAACCTTAGTGTACAATGCTTTGTTTTGTAGACTTTTTAATAAAAAATTTGTGGTAATCTTAAGCCAATCAATTAGCATCATTTTGCTTATTTTCACTCATATTTGGGTACAGAATCTAAACAAATACATTTCAAACAATAAATGCAAGGTAAATAAAATGGATGAAATGGTAATATAAATTGAATGTGCTGAATAAAAATATACCGACAAGCTAACCCCCACAGGTGAAAACTAGCTTATACAATAGAGGAAAAGAAAATTTATGCAAATATTTCTTAATTTTCAGAATTCGGAACCTAGTGCTATAGACTGGGGGTAAGATACAAGGAAATCTGATTTATAAATTAACCAAAAATCAGCTAATCTTCATGCAATAAAGCATACAGTAAAAGACCTTTTCTGGACTTGCTATCAAAAGTTATATAGCAAAACAAAACTCAACTTTCAACAGTTGATGCAAAATATCATTCAAATGACTTAAAAAAATTTGCATTCAAAGATATTCTGTGTTTAAAATAAACATTTTGAAAAACAAATACACACCTGAAAGAACTTTTCAAAATTCTCCAATAAATATACTCCACAGTCATGCATATTTGTCTGCTGAGGACATCTCATTATATACTCATTCATAGTATGGCGGTCAAAAATTTTTCTACTTCCTTTCTTTGAAGTCCATTCTACATTTAAATAGCTGTACAAATGAAACAGTTACAAAATCAACAATTACAGATGATATTCATTAGGAAAAGGAAGTACTGACATATAATCATACACTAAAACACAGTTAAACAGTGTTTAAAAAGAGGTTTTAAAATATGAATTTCTTGTGTATGGATTTTCTTATTTTCTTGAAAAATAATATCTGGAAAACTGAATAAGGTAACTTTTGATGAATATATATTTATCTAAATGTATGTAGTAAAAAAAAAATTGATTTAGTTTTCCAAATTTAAAGAAAGAAAGTACTTAAGTTTCAAGACCTCAAAAGAAGTTTTGATGAATGATTTAGATTTTCAGGATTCTTATACATAAAAAAAGTTCAAGCAAAACAGAAACGGGGTGTAATGTTACCAGCTAAATGACCTGAATTCATTTCTAGGCTAATACAGCTTTAACCATATACAGAACAAAATATACAATAGTTACATTAAGGCTAATTTCAAAAAAAAAAAAAAAAAAAAAAAAAAAAAAAAAAAAAAAACCCTTTTCTTACAACAGAGCAAGCAAAGACCCCCATCCATTTCTTTTCACTTTTTAATGCCCTCTCAACTGTCCGACACCTACAACAGGGAAATACAAGAGCTGAAATCAACTCATAGTATTAAAAATAACTAGGTTTTGATTCATGTATTTCAGAATGAAACCTGCATCGTTTCAATCATAGAGTTTTCAGTAAGTGTTACTCCATAATATATTAGATGGATTATCTAAAGCAGTGCAGCAAAATTCCACTGCAAAAAGCTGAGATAAGACACGATTTTTTTGGCTAACTTTACTTGTAAGTTAGAAAAGCTATGAAAAATATTAAAATTTCATACATTTTACAAAATATTATGTTAATAGAAATGAAACATATAATTCTATATTCTTATATTAATAAAATTTGCATTAATTTTAGAAATCCTGAGCAAATGCTGAAAGTTGGTAAATAAATGACTAATGAATTTGTTAACCAATTTGAAGGATATTAAAACAATTTTTATAAATTAATGAAATTATTTTGCAATGAATTTAATACTGTTTCGAAATTTCCACCCGTGGTAAGATAGCTTCCCAGTAAAGCAGATTTAGGGTTGCCAGAAAATGGCAAGGAAAGGCAAGGTCGCCACATTTGGCGACAAAACTGCTGATATGCCATAGATGGATGAAGAACCTGCTGGAACGAATTCTTACTGGTTTGGCCCAGAATGTTCTCAAACACAAGCTAAAAGCTATATAAATCCTGCTGGTACATGGAGAGGCAGTTGTCATTCAGTCAGTGAGTGCAGAGCAGAGTCGGGAGCTGTACTCTGGTGCTTTGCCATGAAGCTATCTTGACCATTATAGCCTGTCGCCGATTGTTTCAGGATGTTTATAGCAGTTCTTTGATGACTGTAAACATGTTATTGAAGCTGTCTTGAATAATACTGGCTAATAAATTGTGTTTCGATACTTCATCAAGTGTCATTGTTATTCACTCCAAATCTGCGAACCCTTAACGTGTAAAGAAAAACGTAACAACTGGTGTTAGGAGTGGGATTTGAGGATGAATGCCAGTAACAAGGGTGATGGAAGAACAATTAAGAAAGCTTGTGATTGCCTTTGCTGCATTTCAAGAGGAAAGCCAGATATAATGACATGAAAGCTGGATATGAAGAGATGAAAGCCCAGATAAAAGAGATGAAAGCAGGAGAAGAAAAACAGATGGAAGTGGAGCAAAATAAGATTAAAAGCGTGCTCATGGAGCTTAGAAAGGATACTGGAGCAAAAATAGCAGCTATGGAAGACAATTTGAAGAAAAATTGAGAAAATTCTGGAAAGAAGTCGATATTTCGAAAGAAAACCAGACTGAGCCCAAGAATGAAACTGAAGATTTGAAGTTTCCCCCAAGTTTCTTCTCATATGGTGATCAAACCAAGCACATACGATGGAAAATCATAAGACCCAGTTTTCGATCATGGTCAAAACTAACAAGTGGGACTCCCACATGAAGGCTTCACAGTTGGCTGCATCACTCTGAGCAGATGCTGCAGACATCTTATGAGTCCTCTCCGAAGACCACATTTCAAACTTCAATACCCTCTCAAATGTGCTGGAACTGAGATTCGGGAAAATGTGTGCAAAGGACTGTAGCTGTCTGCAGTTTAAAACTTGCCAGGAGAAAATGATGGAAAGCCTTCAAGAACTGGCGACTGACATCGAGAGTTTGGCGCATCAAGCAATATCCACTGTCCACCTGATGTCTGCCAAAATCTGGCCCTGATGCATTTCATTGATGCAGTCAAGGATGCAGAAATTCAGAAGGCTCTCAGATTGGCAGATCTGAAAGCCCTAAAATCTGCCTTGGTCTACACCATGAAGTTCGAGTCAGCTCAACAAGCGAGTCGAAGAGATTGCCATCCTATTAAAGTGGCTCAAATAGAAGATCGAAATTTTGATGTCGCAAAACTGAGAGAAGAAATAAGAGATTTTGGGAGGTGTTAAAAAGGCCGAATGAAAGCAATACTGAAAAGAAAATCATCAAGTACTGGAACTGCAGATTGGAAGGGCATCTCAGCAGGAACTGTCACGTGAATCAAGACTGGGAGGAAGCTCCCACAAAACAAAACCAAAGAAACTAAAATGTGGCAATCTCATGGGGCGGAGGTTGCCAGGCAGAGATGCAGCCCCTCTGAAAGTTCTTCAAATCTCTTCAATGAGTGGCAGAGATAAGACTTCGTCAAAGGATACGTGAATAAGTATGCTTGTAATATGATCATAGATACGGGAACAAATGTAACAATCGTGTGAACAGATGTAGCTTAGGAATTAAACAAAAAGTTGTGCTGGACTCCACCTTGTGTGAACTTACAAACAGTGACAGGTGATAAGATTCCAGTTGAAGGTAAAATTAACATCACCAATGCCTTTGGAAATGAGACCTACCAGCACTTGGCTTTTGTCGCCAACATCGCTGATGGATTAATACTCAGAACGGACTTTTTGTGGAAATAACAAATAACAACAGAGGGAGTAACAACCTATTGGAGTAAGTGGAAAGGAATTACTCCATCACCTGTAATGAACTGCTGGCTATCGTAATGGCCATAGAACATTTCCATCATTATCTCTATGGCAGAAAATTCTTATTACGAATCGATCATGCTTCCCTAACCTGGCTATTGAATTAAAAAAATCCTGAAGGACAAATGGCCAGATGGATTCAGACTCCAGGAATATGACTTTGAGATAAAACACCATAAAGGCTCCTCCCATAGAAATGCGGATGCTTTATCCAGGAAGCCTTGTCCTGCAGACATTGTTCAAGAGCCAAGGGTAAGTATGGGTTGGTAAATCCATCAAATAACATTTTCAGCATCCGCTGATCCAGATTCTTGGAGTGATGAAAATTTAGAGAAGACCAATTAGTGGATTTTGACATTAAGCGAATAACAGAACTGAAGGAATCATCCAGTACAAAACCCAAGTGGCAGGACATTTCCATCTTCAGTCCAACAACTAAAAGGCACTGGGCTCCCTGGGATTCACTCCACTTCCAAAATGGAGTCTTATAATGACTATGGGAAAGAAACGATGGAACTAATAAAAAGATGGCAGCTGCTGCTTCCTCAAAACTGAATATCTGATGTTCTGAAGGAAATACACAGCAACTCAACAGAAGGGCATTTTGGCTATATGAAGACACTAAACAAGGTTCAAGAGTTTGTCTTCTGGAGTTCAGCAAGAATTGATGTTGAGAAGTGGTGCCGATCTTGTGGTGCTTGTGCAGCCAAGAAAGGGCCGAAGGGATGTAGCCGAGGAAGGCTGCAGTGCTACAATGTAGGAGTGCCTTTCGAGTGAATTGCTCTCGACATGCTTGGACCTTTTCCATGGATGACAATATATGCATCCTCATTGTCAAACTCTACGAAGTGATCTGGAGCTTAACCAGTTTCAGACCAAGAGGATGTCATGACAGCTAAAGTTTTACAGAAATGGGTGTCCAGATTTGGGACCCCCCACTCCACATTCATTCCGACCAAGGCAAGAACTTTATGTCGTCTGTATTCGAGGGACTCTGCAACTTATTGGAAATCAAGAAAATGCAGACGACCCTGTTACATCTGCAGTCCGATGGCATGGTGGAGAGGTTTAACCATACAATCCTAAACCACTTCTCGCTCGTGGTTTCCAAGAACCAAGATGACTGGGATCGCAATCTGCCCCTGTTCCTGCTTGCTTACTGTAGCGCTGTCCACGAAAGCACCGGCTATTCTCCATCACAGATGCTCCTCGGTCGTGATCTCCATCTGCCAAGTGACCTACTCTTCAGCCACCCCCCGGATGTACATTCCTCGTCTGAGGAGTATGTGCAGGACCTCCAGGCCCAGTTGGAAACAGTACACAGGTTTGCTCGAGAGCAGATCAACATCTCGATGGACAAGATGAAGAAGAGATACGATGCAAGAGCCACTGAATATCAATTCCAGGAAAACGACAATGTGTGGCTTTGGAATCTGAGTTGCCGTAAGGGTGTTTCTCCAAAACTGGAGTCGCACTGGGAGAGTCCCTATACAGTCCTCAACAGGCTGAACGATGTTGTGATACGGATCTGTAAATCTGTCAATTCCAAACCTAAGGTATTCAATATGACAGATTAGCCCCATACTATGGCCACAGTACCTAGTGCTTCTCATTCTTAGGAGTACCCATAATTCTTATGCATTAATTTTCTTACCTAATTTCTATGTAATGTTTGTACGTAGTTACTTGTAAATTGTGTAAATATTTGTTTGTTTATTACGTTTTGGTTGTATCGAATCTGGCTTCTGACCAATGATTGTACTGCCCAAGACATGCAGTACTTGGGAGGGGGCAGTGTTATGAAATGCCCAGCCGTGATAAGATAGCCACAGAGCAGGTTTGGGGTTGCCAGGAAATGGTGAGAAATTGTCCATTTGGCGATATGCCATAGACGGATGGAGAAAGCCCAGAATGTTCTCGAATGCAAGC